CAGTTTTGTCTGGGAGGATAAAAACACTGACTTGTACATCGGCTGGCCCCCGCAAGTCATTGTATAGGCCACATCGCATTCAAACGCCACTCTATTAGGTCGGTCCATAAGTCTTGCAACAAACTGGCCGAATTTTGAATTTAATATTTTCATTATCTTTTTGTTCCATTCATCCGGCATGCTACCCTCCATCAATATCTACAACCTATTGCCAACACACTAGTAGCTGCTCGATGCCTCCCTTGTAGGACTCTACTGAATTCTGATCGAAGAAAGATCAGATGTCGATTTTGACATCATCATAGTTAGGATGAGCTTTCTTCTCTAGGAGATGGTTTGGAGAGGGGAGCAGAAGGGCATTATTTGCACGAGGTCAGGGCTATAACGTGAATACGGAAGAACTCTCCGTCCCAGAGTCTCGAAATTTTCCTGAATTTTCTTAGCAAGAGGTTTTTCAACGGTGTCATACAAAAGCAAACTTTGCCTTGTTTTTCTTTCGTATTAAAAGCGTTGCATTCGAGCTGTGGATAGTTGACTTTCGCGTTGACTGCGACATCTACACGGAGGGGTTTCCAGAGCTTAACTCCTCCCGTGTTCCACCAAAAATCCGAGAAGGCCCTACTTGGACGAGGTTGAACTTAAGCAATAAGATCTCCCGAAGCGTTTGAGCTGGACTACCGCCGCTTGTTCATTTGTTAGTAAACTGTACCCACTCCTCATCTTCGGCAAATGTGATGGATGGTCAATCGTAGAATCCCTAGTAAGTCGACTTGAACATAACGGTGTCAGATCGTGTTTGGAGCTGAATCGGGCTCAAGGCACGTGGGGACCAAACTCTACATTTTCGGATCTTCACAAGTCTTTGGAGATGCCACAGTGCTGTCTCCTTGTCGCATCGGAATCGCTCTAGCAAATGATCGATACTCTATCCAGATCCCTTTTCAACAGCGTCAGATAGAGCATCGTGATTGTCAGTCACAGGGTGGTTGGAGTGTGGGTTATTTTCAAATAAAAAAGTCAACGCTGAGCAGAGTGAAGCGCCGTTGCACTGTGGTTTGAGAGAGCGTGCCCTCGCCTATCTTCTGGCCAATCCTTGGTCTAGCATGACTTGCGGAACATTCCAAGCAGTACTCGTAAAAATTAAGGGCACCGAGAGCCCTCTCGCGAAATCGGTGTAATATCCATAATAAGTAAGCAGACAACGAGCTGGACCGTTGGCTGAAATTGCAAAGGTTGATGCTACGTCAGGAAATATGTTGCGGATTTTCAGGAGTTCTCCCTAAAATTCTATAGCATTAAATGTAGTTTGTTGCAAGACTTATGGACCGACCTAATATAAATGGAAGTAGAATGCGTGCCGCATCCCAAGACGGCGAATGCTTTATTCTCTATCCTTTATCTTCTTTGAAGTCGACGCATGTTGCTTCCTCCCATTCTTTAGCTCCCATTTCGAACATTTTCCTAGTGAGATGTCACATATTACTCAATCGAATTCCAAGCTTTCCAGGCTCCTGAAGGAAAGAAGATTGAAGTTAAAATCAACTCCATCTCACATGGTTACGGTTCGACGGCTGTAAATTCGGGAGGCGTCGAAATCAAATCCAGTGAGGACCAAACTCGAACCGGTTACCGGTGAGCTATTCCTGGATCAAACTCGAAGTCTATTTCTTGCGCTGAGTCGCATGACTACTTTTGCAGATTCTGCTCACCAAATGACCGTAACACAGTTCTTGTTTCGGCGTCTAACCGTGTGCCAATCATCACATTCAACAGAGCCGGCCAACACCAGATCATCTTGGAATACAAAATCGTCTCATAAGTGCTCCGCATGTGGAGAGAGAACTTCACGACATGAATGAAACTGCATCAATATCGAGTGTTTCCTTGCAAACAGAGCACCACAACATGAGAAATATGTGTCTACGAGGGTACGACTCGTCACAAAAATATTATACATAGCATATAATCGTACTATGTTCAAGTTTACTTGAGCCCAAGCTAGTCGGTTTGTTGCAGAAAGTCGGGAGCTATTAGATTGGGAAGAATGTCCTGCAACTCTTCTTCCATTTTTTCATCTAATTTTATCTTTTCTGTTTACAACTCCTGACCGGTCATATATCTACCATGAGTGTTCACCACTTGTCTTCAACGCTGAGAAAATTTCTTGATGCTCCTTTGCCAAAACCCAGCGGAGTGCGGCTCCTTGCAAACAGAGCACCACAACATGAGAAATATGTGTCTACGAGGGTACGCACATGCGACTCGTCACAAAAATATTATACATAGCATATAATCGTACTATGTTCAAGTTTACTTGAGCCCAAGCTAGTCGGTTTGTTGCAGAAAGTCGGGAGCTATTAGATTGGGAAGAATGTCCTGCAACTCTTCTTCCATTTTTCGTCTAATTTTATCTTTTCTGTTTACAACTCCTGACCGGTCATATATCTACCATGATTGTACATCACTTGTCTTCAACGCTCAGAAAATTTTTTGATGCTCCTT